ATTAAGCGTATAGAAAGGGTGGCAATAATTAGCCCTCTTCTGCGTCTAAGTTCCGAGCGTTTTCCCCCGTGTCTTTTCACCGGGGTTAAATCTCTTAAAGCGCCCCCGCAACGTATTTTTTCTATGGCGCGGTCCTAAAGCCGGTTCTAGACTGTGCGTCAAACGGCCTCCGGCGTCGGACTATATGAGCAAGTGGTTTGCGTCGAACGGCGAGCTCCTAAAGTTAATAGTCATCATCATCATCATGCTGTGATACCTGAGTGGTATTCTAGATATAAATATGATTGAGTTTCTTCCATAAATACTCCATGCTAACATAGTTCTTCTGTTGATTTCTGGTAGTAGAGATCCCGAACTGTGTATTAGTTGTCCCAAGTACCTACCAAATAGGCTTTCTCGATGGATACAACTGACTAACGCAGCTGTTGCTAGGATATTCTATTCATTTTATTTCTTGTGTTTTTTAAACATTGTGAATGATCGTAAACTAAAAAGTATAAAGTGTATTTGAAACCACTAATTTATTCCATTAATTCGAGGTTGTGAATGAAACTTAATAGTTTATTAACTTTTTCTAAAAAAAAGTCTAAAGTTTATAATCATCTGCTGATGATGCTAACATGGTTAGCGAAACGTCCAGTGTAAAAGTAAAAGTGTTTTGGTGTGTTGTGGTGATTTAGTGTTTTTTATTTAACTTTTTCTACTAATTAAAAATAACTACCACTAATTTAGACGTTCTGAATGCTTATATTGAAATTAGAGAAACAAACTTCTACAGTAATTGCTAAAAATAGATAAATAACATATTGAAAGATTCCCAAAAATTACCTTTTCACCGTCCTTAATCGACCCGATATACATCTTAAACCATGCTTTCACATCCCTTCTACACCTGCCAAACGCACCTCACACTTTTACCCCCATTTCAAGCGACTTTCCTCTGGGAAATCTAGCGGGAAAATCGAAAACGTGGATATATTCACGGCCAAACGCTTTCCTTGAAGTTTTCCGAGCCGGGCGGAGAGTAGGGACCCACTTTGCCTGAACCTATACGCAAGAAGCACCGGCCTGTAGTCGTAAAGATATGCTCCCGACTCGCCTGTGTGTTCCTAGCAGGGTAATTTCCTTCGCCTTTGATGTTACACGTCGTGTGTAGCCAGAGAAGATGCCAGAGAGGGTAAGAAAAATAGAATTGACTTGGTGATACGGTCGCAGTTCCTGGAATCGATAGTAGAATGACTCGGAAATAATTCATTTAGCACTAAAAATTATTACAAATTATCGAGATGACACCGTCAAATCCGGATTTATACACCCTGAAAATGTATTTGCTTCATACTAATTGTCAAAATGATTTTTTCGTAATCATTTCATAGTTATAAAATTGTTTGTTTAGACATCGTGTTTATATGGTCACATAAATTTAACTGACTTCACACATTTCGTACCAAAAGTCTTCTGCTGATTGATTTAAAACGACAAAAGTGCGTTGAGGGCAATATAATTGACAGAAAGTTTATTGCGGTGAAAAAAAACTAGGCGTTAAAAAAGAAATGAAGAATTAGTTAGTTAATAGGAATCCTCCAAGGGTCTAAGATACACCAACATTAGTGGAGTACCCAGAGTATTTTACCTCGGAATTCAATTACTCTGAATGAATTAATGTAATTACTCTGAACCAATGGGCACTTACCCTAGTATCCTACAGGCAGAAATCTACGCTATCGAGAGATGCGTACAACTTATCTTAGATAGGAACTATCGGAAACAAGAAATAGCCATCTTATCTGATAGTCAAGCAGCGTTAAAGGCGATCAACTCAGTATCAATCAATTCGAAATTGGTCAAAGAATGCATAGAAGCTGAATAAATTAGGCAAAGAAAACAAAGTCCTCCTACACTGGGTGCCTGCTCACCAAGGGATAGAAGGCAATGAAAAAGCAAATAATCTAGCTAGGAAAGGAGCGAACACTCCACTAACTGGACCAGAACCGTTCTGCTTTCCAAGTGGTAACCAACTCAAGGCGGAACTCAAGGACTTGGAAGATTCCATCCGCTACCTGGAATGGAAATCTTGCAATGGTCTAAGACACTCGAAGAAGTTTCTGAGGGCTTATGATCAAGAAAAATCACAGATCTTCCTGGGTCTGAGTAAGAACAATCTTCGGATTGTCACGGGGTTTTTAACAGGACACTGTCTCCTCAATGAACACCTCAGTAGATTGAAACTAAGAAGAAACGGCGAATGCAGATTCTGTGGGGAAGATGGTGAAACACCAGTACACCTCATCACTGAGTGCGCCGAGACGACAACCATTCGTGCCATGAATTTTGGTACGACTGATATTGGAGATGGAGAACTACCCTCTATAAAACCGTCCCAGATACTGGCTTTTGTCAAAGCCCTGGGACTGTATGATGAGTTATGATTCAAGAAAGGGGGACACAATGGATCTGTAAGGTCGAAATGATTAACCCCCCTCCCACTCATTCTAAATTCTAAAAAAAAAATTCTAAATTAATGTGAAACCTTCTGTATTGTGTTTTATAGATAAAATAGTAAAAAATGTTTACCCATTTTTTTTCGTTGCTTTTAATTTCTTATTTTAGTAATTTTAGTAAATTTTTAATTATTTCCTAAATATTTTGATTTTTTTAAATTCTTTTTCTAAGTAAATTTATTGAATTAAATAAATTTAATTCATTCGCTATACCTATTCTGCTTACATTCTAATCATTGAAATTTTGATTGAAATCGAATTATACAGGGTGGCGCGTCATATACAACGCGGTTTTTGCAAGGAGAACAAAAATTTGTATTAAAGTGAAATTTTGTGAGCTTCTGTAAGTCAATTTAAAGCATTTTCTAAAATTATGTAGAGTTTTACAGGGTGTCCCCAAAAAAAGTTACACATCAAAGTTATGTTTTTTGGATTCTAGTAAAAAAATAAAGGTTGTGTGTCATTAGAAAAATATATGACTAAAATGTATAGTTTTTTAAATACATTCACCGGCACGAAAAATGGGCACCTTATAACTTTGATGTATTTTAAAGGTTAATATATTTTTGATGATTTTTTAAGCAGTGTGTTGCCAAATTATTTGATTTTTTAGTATCTTTTTCTAAATTAAAAGTTAAACTCCCCATCTGTTAATTATACGAGGGAAAACAAAATGTTGATATTTTGGTGAAAGTTTGAAACGTCCTGTGAAATATGTTAAAAAAGCAAGAAATTTAAAAATAATTTTATCATCTAGATACATCCTTTGTCGATGGTTTGTTTTTTGATTCATCTCATTAGCTTTATTTTTGTTGGAAATATTCGGTTTTAAAGAAGGCACTGACATTTTTTCGTAATTTTTTTATAAAGTTAAGAGTTAGTTAGTGTAACTAAGAGTCCTAACCAAAAAAAAAATTTTGAAATATTGGAAAAGAAGAAGTATCCAAAAAGAATTATGAAGTTGAAAAGTTAAAAGTTTCATAACTTTTTCTACTAATTGAAAACGTCTACCACTAATTTTGACTGTCGGAATGCTTACAAAAAAGAAATTAAAGGAACGAACTTCTACGCTAATTGAAACCACTAATTTATTCCACTAATTCCGAGGTTCTAAATGAAGCTTTAACTTTTCCACTAATTATATGGTCACACTTTGGCCTTTGATTTATAATCCGTCAAGAAAAATTGTGGTTACAAATAAAAAGTTTATTGTTTTATAAGCTAATTATTAGGCTTTCTCTATGAATAAAACTGATTACTGCAAGCTGTTGCTAGGATGTTCTATTAATTTTAATTGTATTTTTTAGGCATTGTGAATGATCGTAAATTCTTAAGTAAAGAGTATAATTGAAACCGCTAATTTCGAAGTTCTTAGTGAGGCCTAAGGGTTTTGTAGTGATCTGTTTTGAAAAGCAAACCAGAAACCAGAAGTAGTTAGTTAAAATTTATTCCATTTCATCTATTATATTTAAAAAATGAGTATCTTAAACGACGCACCTTATTTCAACAACTTAATAAGCTGTGCTCATTTACTAGAATTTCTGAAACCAGATCAGTTAACGCTAAAAAGAACAACTCGATCCCCAACAGCATCGATATTAATGCCCATCATTTACTCAAAACGTATATTTATACAAAATCTATTTATGCAAATCGCTTGTCGCTCCCTGCTTATGAACGAATTTGTTTTGAACTTGCTACAATGTAGAGATGGAGCAAACAAATCTTATCGATACGTTATCGTTGAGATGATGCGACCACAAAAATTATGGAATTAAGAGACCTAGAAGAAGACCAAACCATGATATAAGGAAATTAGCAAGAATAACTTGGACCCGCACCGCCAACAATAGATAACAATCGGCCCAGTTGCAAAGAGATTATCTAAAAAAGTGAAGGTGGTTAACCAACCATTTCCATAATTGGAAATGGTTGAATAAACTGTAAATGATGATGATGATGATGATTACCAAGCATGTATGTCGATACTGCTCAACTCATCCCTACTATTCAAACGATATCAACATTAAGCATAGTCTATTAAATTTATAGGCTAAATACTAGTTATTAATATGGATAATTCTTTAAGATGTCCGCACATTATTTTATGTCTGATTCTTTTTTATGGAAAGCTATAGCAAATCGTTTTATACATGGGCGTGGTTTTTAGAATAAAGATTGATATTTATAAATTAAATCTGGTTGGTTAAACACGAATATATATAATTATTTTTCCTCATTTCTAATAGCGTAATATTGTATTAAATAGGTATATAATAATTATAATATGTATCAGTATTAGGACTCCTTGTTATTTGATTTCATTAAATAGAATTATTTCTTGCCGAACACATTTAAAAGAAATACATAGTATATAAAAAATAAAAATTGTATAATTCTTATATATACAAGGTGTAAAAAAATAAGTGTCATTTTTTTTTAAAAAGTTTTAAAAGACAAATGCGGTATTAAACTTAAAAAAAAAATTTCAAAGCCTACCTTCCACTTTTGGTGATGACCATCTCCGTTCCCAGCTTGTGGAATTTTTCCCACAAGTCTTTGCCTTCCAATGTTACTTTGGGATCGTCCACAACACCGTCGTCTTCAGGCTGGATGGCTCTCAGTGGTCGTACCATGGCGGAATGGTGGTTGTGGACAGCCTGTAAAGAAAAAATGGGAAAAATGTATAAGAATAATTCATGTTATTCAGAGAATGGAAATGATACAATAATGATAAAAGTCTCCAACTTTTATTTTCATGTGTCGTCTACACCAAATTAGACCTTCAGGAAACTGGATATTTAGCTGACAAAATCAATTCTAAGTAAGGGAGAGTCTACACACAGCTACTAAATCTCGGCAACGCTGGACAACGCGCGTATTTCTTTGATGTTTACAGGTAAAAAAGAAAATACGTTTGTCAAGTTTCATTTAATAAAGATTTTAAGTGAAAAAAAATTGTCAAGTTTCTTTAGGTACAGATTTTAAAGGAAAAAGTTGTCAAATTTTATTTGGTGGAAACTTCAAGAAGAAAAAGGTGCTGTTAAGTGTAGTTTGATGGAGATTTCAAGGAAAAGTTGTCAAGTTTCCTTTGATGGAAGGCGATTTTAAGGGGAAAATTGTCAAGTTTATTTTGGTAAAGACCACGAGAGAAGAAGCTTTGTCAAATTTTCTGTGGCAGACTTCAAGAAAAAAAATGTTGTCAAGTTCCAGTTGGTGGAAACTTTAGGGAAAAAAGTTGTCAAGTTTTCTTTGGTGGAGACTTCAAGGAGAAAAAGGTTATTATCAAGTGTAGTTTGATGGAGATTTCAATGAAAAATTGTCAAGTTTTCTTTGGTGGAGACGCTAAAAAAAGGTGTCAAGTTTCTTTAGGTGCTGACTTCAAAAGAAAAAGTTCTCAAGTTTCCTTTGATAGAAGACAATTTTAAGAGGAAAATTGTCATGTTTATTTTGGTGAAGACATTGAAAGAAGCACTTTTGCAAAGTTTTGTGGCATACTTCAAGAAAAAAATGTTGTCAAGTTTCCTTTGATAGAAATTTCAAGAAAAAATAGTCAAGTTTCAGTTGATGGAAACTATAGGAAAAAATATTGTCAAGTTTTTTTTGGCGCAGACTCTAAGAAAAACAGATGTCAAGTTTCTTTAGGAGCAGATTTTAAAAGGAAAAGTTGTCAAGTTTCCTTTGTTGGAGACTTCAAGGAGAATAGTTGTCAAGTTTCCTTTGATGTAAGGCGATTTTAAGGGGAAAAATTGTCAAGTTTATTTTGGTGAAGATCTTGAGAGAAGAAGCTTTGTTAAGTTTTCCTTTGGCAGACTTCAAGAAAAAAAAGGTTGTCAAGTTTCAGTTGGTAAAAACTTTAGGGAAAGTTTTCTTTGGTGGAGACTCTAAGAAAAAAAGGTGTCAAGTTTCTTTTAGTGGAGACTTCAAGAAAAAAAGTTGTCAAGTTTCCTTTGGTGGAGACTAAGAAACAAGTGTCAAGTTTCTTTCAGTGGAGACTTCAAGAAAAAAAGTTGTCAAGTTTCCTTTGACGGAGACTCTAATTTAAGACCCTAATCCTCACCTGAAGAAGCACGTCCTCCGCCGTGGTGTACGGATGCCCAGGCAACGCGTGATGCGGATGCGGTATCTTCGGTATCAGCGTCCCCGGATAACACGAGTGCGGATTAGCCGCCTGCGATGCCAGCAGCGACGGAAAAAACGCCCCGGCCCCCGGTCCAGTAGGCGAGGTATTAGCCCCCGAGGGCGAGTTATTGTTGGCAGCTGTCAACAGCGACGACACGCTGAAATCGGTCTGGCGAGGCAGCTGAAGGAACGGGTGGTAGGCCATGGTCTTCTTCAAGGCTTCGCTGCTGCTACCGCTGGCTTGATGATGGCCTGTTGCGTCCTGCAGAGCACTTTCGAACCGCATCGGGACCAAAATTGTGCGGAGGCCGACGCTGCCCACCGCTTAGTTCCAACCATATAAAAGGAGTCGAGCTTGTGGGTGAGGCGGGCTGGTGAGGCTGGAGTTTGTGTCAATCTGGAAAACAGAATATTATCGTTTTCATTAACATGTTATTTCGAGCTTTTAGATGTAAAGGATGTATTTATGTTAACATTGCAACTTTTCAACAACTGTACACTATTAAATAAAGACCAGAGTACCTACAATTTACATATAACATATATAGGGTTACAGTTAAATATAACAGTCCATGTTTTATTCTGTAAATTTTGGTGTTCAAACTAGGTTCAGATTTAAACCAGGTTCAAAATTTTAATAGGTTGTTGCATTCCTATGTTGAACTTAGTTATTAGGTATTTGACGCATATTCCGGACCTTTACTGATCTCATAATCTTAACGTTGATTTTCACTATATCTTCCGTATCAGCTACCTTCCGTTTACATAAAATATTATATCATGTCAATGAATAGGACAATGCACACTATCCGTTCAGTTTCCCTTCCGTTCCATATCCTTTTCTTCCATACTTTTTTTTGGCGGACGGACTTAACCATATTGAAACAGTGTTGTCAAGTTCTTACATTTGTACCAGCTCTGTTAACATTTTGCTGATATTTATTCATTCTTTCACCTCTTAATTAAATCTATTACCTTTTTCAAAAGATACAAATTATTAAAATAAAACTTTCGTAATGATATAAATTGTACAATAAGAAGTATGGAACTGATACGGAATGAAAGCTTACGTATAGCGTCAATGCAATAAAAAATACGGAACGGATATGGAACGAATACGGAATGGAAACGGAAGGTATAGTAAGAATCAACCTTTACAGGGAAAACATAAATTATAATAAAGCCCACAACTGTAGAAAACACTGCTTTTTTGCCTCTAAAATGGTACTTGGCGTCACGTTTTAGCTTTTATTTCTATCAGTTAGCAATCGATCTATCTCCAAATAGTTAAATATGCTTGGTTTTATACGAAAATATCGAACAAATGTGGTTGTAATTGTCACAAATTGTGTTAGAGAATATTCAGATTGTACTCGTTGAAATTTACATGAAAATCATTATTACAAATTGTAGCAGTGCTAACTATATTTTTTGGCACAATTTGCTGTTACTAGGCACTATTGTAAACTGAGTTGAGGATGAATAATAACTTAAAGGATACAACAATAATTGTGTGCCATATGTTTAAAAAATCTAACTACAATGTTGTAGTTTTTTTTATGTTTTTTTTCAGTGTTTAAGCTACATTTATACAACCATAATAGTTGTGTCTTGCTCTGCTAGTGATTTAGAACTGATATTTAGGTGTGAAAACGTGTTAATATACCATTATACTTTTCTATTCAACCACATGTATTATCTGGAAAAATTTCCTTTTAGAAATACTGTACGGAACATACTTTTTGATAAATCAGACCCAATCAATGAAAGACCATTGTCAAAGATATCTTATTAAAATTACTTATATTAAAGAAAAAACTAAGACTTATAATTTTAATATAAAAGGATAAATGTAAATAATACATAAATTTATTTCAAATTCGTCCTCCAATAATTACCTAGGTATTATTACTATTATTTATTTAAAATTAATATTTCCAAACTACAATAACAGATATTAAAGTTAATCTTCTACTTTGAACTAACCAGAACTTTTTGCACACTTTGTAGATTTATATATTTTGTTTTGATCAGTTTTCTTCAATTTTAATACATTTTTTCTTTAATTAAGCTTGTTCTTTGAGGTTATATTAGACAACCATTTCATATAGAATTATATTTATAATTTTATAATGAAATTTAGTAAATAAACTATATATTTTTTAATGTAAATAATTATATAAAAACAATATTTTAATAAGAAAGTAGATATATGTAAAAAAATCATTGTAAGTCTAGTAAAAATGAGGAACATATTTGGTTGCGGTTACCCGCCGGATGCTGAATTAAGAAAATTTTAGTTAAAATTTCTATAGGTATAAATATAGAATTTTTAAACTTCAAGAACATTAATTTTATGTTATTCTTAATAAAACCGGCAAAACACTAACTATCATCTAGATTTAACCATGATTTTATGCAGGTTAAATTCTTATTTATCAAAAATTTTATGATTAATGCCTTATAGAACGCCCTTTTTTGGTAAATACTGTAAAATTGTGCTGATTAGAATTTTAAATATATTAAATACCGAAAAATTTTTATGAAACAGGGATGATCTCGATGTTTTTTTAAATTCTTTTATAAATATCTCAGATAAATTTCTAAATAAAATAATAGGGTTACGGTATCATTAAAAACTAACAAAAGAAATAAATAAAGTAAAGAAAATCATGTTGAAATACCAAATAGTTTAGTTTGAGGATATAAAAAATCCATAGAAAATTTAGAATTTGAAGACATGCGAATCATATTTCGCAAAATTATGCAGAACTAAATCAATTTAATTTTATTCTTCTTTTATTATTGATTACCTACTAATTAATTATTCGTTTTAGATCATTTTAATAATTCTAAGGAGGAAACTTGTAAGAAATATATTTTCCTTGTTATAATGTAGCTAGCTTTTTATTCGAAGTGGAAAAACAAACATGAAATGAAATCGCTCTTATAGAAAAATATTCTTAGAATGATATTATCAAAATCACAAAAAACAAGTATAATATAAAAACTAGCCTCTGTGATACATACAACTAACTTATTTTCAAAGAAAAATCTTGATTATTAATATTTTTTTTCACTAAAAACAATTCAAATGATAAAATCCAACTACTAAGTGTTATGTAAAATTATTCCGTTCTGTTAGAATATAGAAAATATTGTGATGTGATAGTCTGGATATAGAATAAAAGGAAATTATATATATTTTTCTTTTGTCTATTAATTTGTCATAGGCAACCATAGTCTTGAATTCTTTATATCTTAGTATTTCTAGTGGTTTTTAAGTTCTTTAATACACGTTTTTAAGTAAAATGTACATTGGTTCTTATTGGTAATAGATTTGTGATGCAATTTATACATTCTTTTAATAAACCCTAGACTGAGTTATTTAATAGTATTAATTTATAAAAATGAAATTAAACCTTGCATGAAATACTGGGGGGAGTCTCTAGGTAATTAACATCCAAATTTTTGCTACACTTTTTTGTAATTTTTATAGATACCTATCTACAGTTTTTTTCATTGGGTATTAGAAAAATTAGTTAGTCTCTGAGTAGATAGCAAAAAAATGTGGCAATTTCAAAAACTTTTCATTTATCTATATATGATGAATTGGGCAATTAAAAGCTCGAATTTCAAAATAATAAGGTTTACGTCTCATTTAAATAATTTTATTACGAAAAAGTTATGAAAAGATCTTTTTTCTTTTTCTATATATCAAAATACATTTTTTAAACAACTTTTTATGTACCTATTATGAAGAACTGAATAATTTAAAATCTGAATTAATTCATTTTTAAGGAATTTTCTCAAGAGAAACTTTGTATTTTATTTTTAACCTCTGTACTCCGAGATAAAAAAAAGTGTTTTGTCCTTTTCTATACAACAAAATTGTGCGGTGGTGCAATATAAGGTTTGAAAGACACTTACACGAATAACAAAACACTATAAAACTTGATTTTCACGCTCGTCCGAAAACATAGTCACTATCACTTCCTTGTCTCACAATTAAATAGTTTTTTTCCTCCTTCTAGATAAAGCAACGACACACAAAAATACACATAACCGTCGCAAAAATCCACAGAAACGCACCACAGAACAACATACAACGCCAGCTAGCCCGGTACCGGTGTGTCGAACTTCGCACCTCAACGCCTGAAAGGACAGCGCAGAACTATAGCCCGCTGCCCGCAACGCCGACACTTGGCAGCGTTAATGATCGCGACGCGATCCCATTGGCCGGGCCAGCGACACCGACACCGCTCGACCAATCCGCCGGCGACAAATCCCCCACTCTTTTCACACGTTCGGTGGGCAGGAGCGTCGGAGTTAGGCCTCGCTGGGTGTGGCCTGCGACGCCTTCGCTGGCCTTTTCCACAGGGGCCAGTGCCGGGGGACATTTTCGCTGTCTTTTCACGGTTTCGGCCGGGGGGTTGAGGGTTGTGGGGACGCCGCTGAGGTGGTGGCGTGGAAATTCGGCAAGATTTCCGCGGGTGACGCGCTGGGTGTGCTTGTGCGAGTGCGAGTGAGATAGAGGGAGAGAAAGTATGATAGAAAGCGGGTGTTTTGGTTGAAGTTATCCGACGGTAACTCGAAAATCACACAAACTGAATAATTTCTTAGTTTTACTGAAAATGTAATGTGGAATGAGTGGGAGGGGGGTTAATCACCGCGACCTTACAGTACGTTACATTAAGTCCTTTTTTCTTCAGTTATAACTCATCATGCACAATGAAAAAATTAATTTGTGAATTTAATGACAATAGTTTAATTGTTTCTTTTTTTCTTTAACCATTAGAGTTATATCCATATAATTTTTTTTCGTTTCTTGGGTATGAGGTTTTATAATAAATTAAAAGATGGAAAACTTTTTTATGCGACGTTTCGCTCCAACAGAGTAGGCTTTTTTAGGCCCACTGCTTTATTCTAAAAACTATAAAATATCACAATTATTATTCTTTTTTTTTCTTCTCTTACAACGACAATAATAAAAAATACTAATAAAATTTAAAATAGACATCAAAAATAAATAATATTAAAAAAACACAACACAATTTCAAAAAATAGTCAGCTTTTAGAAATCCTTAGGATATTAAAATATTAAAATAATAATTCTCATGTAAATATCTTGAAGTCGTCTTGCTAGCACCATTCTAGTACTACTTACTAGCACCAGAAAGCAGCCTGAAAAAGCCCACTATGTTGGAGCGAAACGTCGCATTAAAAAAGTTTTCCATCTTTCAATTTATTATAAAATCTCATACCCAAGAAAGGAAAAAAATTATATGGTTTAATAACAATATTGATGGTTATTTCTTGCCACAGATTATTTTAGTAAATTTACCATCCATTCTTTAGTTTTGCAACTCGTTTGTAAAATCGCTGTATGGCTAATTT